GGCGGAAGGGTTAAGCGGCCGGGAGGTTAGCCGGAGAGACTCCTGGGGTGATGGCTTGGAAGAGGAGAGTCCCTCTGGCTGAAGTTTAAAGGAGGTTTCTCCAGACAGATACGTACCGCCATCGCGGAGCGCTTCAAACCAAACCTAAAGCCGGTCCGGCCCCGGCCCCGAGGGACCATCTCGCCATGAAACCCTTCCTGCCTACCCAGCCGAGCTGCCTGCGAGCGAGCTAAAACCGGCAGGATAAACCACCTGGCCCGAGGAGTGACCTACAGAGACCCCCGGGTAAGGAAAACGCACAGGGGGGCACGCACACAGCACACAGACACACAGCGCAGGAGTAAGACCCTACCTTGATCCATAGACCTCATGATGTGGTGGTAATGTACCAGCCTGCAGGCAGTTTCTCTCTGCATCAGGAATTAAAAAAAAAAAAGAAAAAAAAAACAAACAACAAAAAAACACAACAAAAAAACAGCGGAAAAAAGAGGAGAAAAAAAAAAGAAGAAAAAAATCTTCTTTAAACCATGTTCAACCAGTGCCGCCTGGACAGAGGGAACCCCTCTTGCTCGCCTCCTCAGTTAAGTGTTTGGAGGTGCAAAGAGGGATCCGAACTGGGCTGAGCTTGTTCCTGAAGTGAAGTCAGTTCTCTGCTCTGAGATGAGGGTTACTAGAGAGGGAAAGGCCACTTCCTTCCCTGCTCCGAGTGTTTATAGTCTTTGAATGCTGTAAAATAACGGGATTCCCTCACTGTTTCCTCCTGTTTATCCCAGTGCCATGGAAACCCCTGGATCGCCTCCATCTCCCAAACTGAGGGCTTTCCTGCAAACTTCACACTCAGGAATCCATGACGTCTCCCAGCTCCGGGCCAAGGCAGCTCTGCGGCTTTCTCAGTCTGCAGCACAAGCACTTAATTGTTGAGCAGAAAGTTAGAGAGCGAGAAAGAAAGAAATATGGATGATGTTAAAAATCCCAGTGTGTGCTTTTTAAACAAAACTTGCAGGAACTGCAAAGCCTTTCAAAGCAACGGGGCTTCTGTGCAGAAGTTTTCCTTCTTCCCAGCAGAGACAAGCTCCGACTGCTGCTGCTTTTACCTTTGAATAAATCATTCAGAAAACCGAAGTCCCCAGCTTTTAAATTCGCCAGCACCCTATTAATACCCATCTTGTTACTGGCACAGGTTTTGGCTTCTAATTACCACTGGCTCAATTCTTCATACAGAAGACGAAAAGAAAAAAAAAATCGGTTAATTTGTTTAGTGGCATTTCACAGACCTCTCTCTGTTTCTATTTTTAGATCCATTTAGAAGAGAGGAGCAACCCCATGGATTTCCACTGATACACGTGGAGCTTAGCAAGAATGAAATAGCCAAGGAAGCCTCTGAAACCAAGACAACCCGTGTGTGTTTACACGTACTATGTATAAACAGGAAAATAAAGCAAAAGAAAACAGGAAAATAAAGTCAAAGATGTCATGAACCGCGTGCTGTCTCGCAACGTATAGTTTTCACTAGTGTGTTAACGAGCATCTGCCTCTTGATGCTGTGCTGGGCTCAGTACCTCCGTGCAACCGCACTTAGGTATATTTTTTCCAGAAGAGATCGAGAGTCCTCACACATAAAATGCTTCTTCGGGGACCGTGACAGCCCTGCAGTCCCTCGGCCGTGGCACGTAACCCCACCAAACGTCGCAGTGTAGGTTTGGAGCCGGGGTGGCTGCCGGGGTCAGCTGGAGCCCTGGGCAGCAGCGGGGAGTGAGTCACTGCAGAGGGACTTGGCCCGGAGCTGCGCGGAGGGCTGGCTGGCACCCGCGCGACGTTTCCATTTTTCACTCTCTGAGTCCCAAAATCGACTCGAAGGAGGTATCACAATCAAACTTTCTGCTTCTCGAGTTTGTTGTCCTGCAGGCTAGCAACTGCAGGCAGGCCAGGGAAACTCAGCGCACCTCACTTTCCTAGCCTTTGTCATTTTTGGACGTGCCGAGGCGGAAATACCTTCCCCGGCTCCGCGGGCCCGTTA